AATCATGATGTTTTTGTAATTTTAATTTATTTCAGGGTTATAATAGTCTTTATATTTATAATTTTTTAAGATTTCAATACCAAAACGACGTCGTTTTGAGAATAAATGCAGATAACTTATCTGCAGTAACTGCATAAACATTTTTCCCATATATATATGTTTCATTTTTTCTGCAGTCACTGTAGATAAGTTATCTACATTAAGCCCAATATAATATCGTTTTGGGCGGAAATCATGAGGTTTTTATAATTTTAATTTATTTCAGGATTATTATAGTCTTTATAATTATAATTTTTTAATTTTCTTTAGAGAGTAAATGCAAATAATTTATCTACAATAATTGCATAAATATTTTTCTGATATATATATATATATATATATGTTTATTTAATTTACAGAGTTGGGGATTAGGAGGATACTTCCCAACGTCCCAAGCCCACCTCCTCCACCCGTGCGAGCTAGGAATCCTGGGCCAGCTAATAATCCTGCGCCACAAAGACCTTATTAGGTGCGCATGACATAAACAACCTCTACAATTATGCCTTTCTATGTTTTTCGCCATGTACATGGATTTAGCATTTTAAGTAAGGATTTTATAATTCTCATTTAACATGAGAATTGCAATTTTCCTACACACCCTTCGATTTCCGTGCTGACATGGATCCCACATACTTTTTATCTCTACAACATGAGATTTCAATTCTCCTTCAACATGAGAATTATAAAACCCTTTAAGTAATTGAAGGGAGGTTTTAATTTAATTATCATCAATGTAAAAAAAAACCTTTCTTATTGAATTGATGCAATTGAAGGCTTAACCTGCTTGAAATTAAATCCAAAGTGATATTACCTGTGATTTCAAATGCATCGTGTAGCTCAGCAGCACATTTAAGATAACAAATAATATTCCAAGATGAGGAAAATAACCGTTTTATCTAAATCAATCAATATATTTGGCATTGGGCTGGTTACAGTATTATAATTTTGCTATGATGATTGCAGATTTGATCCTATAATCTCATATATTAATAGGAGGAGTCAAAATAGGTTATGACACGCAAGTTGACCCGCGACATGACATTAAAATATGTGTCGTGTTCATGTTGGAAAAAATAACCTGCAAAAAATTTGTCTCATGGCAAATTCACGTCAACCCATATTTTTTTAATATTTTTAATATATTTTTCTTTTAGTTTTTTTTTTTTTAATTTTTGACATATTTTTTTAATTTTTTTTGTCAATTACTGTTTTGATTCATAGATTATGTGTCATTCGTATCGTGTTAACTCGCAAAAAATATGTGTCATATTTGTATTGCATGTATTCATGTCGTGTCATATCGTGTTAGTTCACTCTTTGCTTTAGTGTTATAATGAATATATATGTGAAGGAGTTTTCGAAGTATTTATTGAATTCTAATTTCATAATAAATGTTTCAGATACTATTAAGTATTACCAACAACCATGAAATGTGTGATCATGAGTATCGTATTTAAAAATTAAATTAAATAAAATTGAGTATGAAAATGACGCTTCAAAATATTTTATAAATTTGAGAAATTCCTAGTGTTTCGGGATGAAAGATAGAGATTTTGCTCTTTGCCATTCACTTTATGCGGATGATGGAATGCAATTGTAAAAAAAACGGAAGTCATGTTCAGCTTTTCAAAAAATCTCTTGCATCACGATCACCATTTGCATGATCGAAAAACAAATCTCATTTTTATGTATGGGTTAAAAGTTTGTCATTTTAAAGAACCTAACTCATATTCTTTTAATAATTTATAATTATGTATTGAAAGATAGTACATAATTATAATATTAAACTTATATTTTTTTATTTTTTAAATCAATAAATAGTGTTTGAAAAAAAAAAGTACAACTTTAATATTATAATTGTGTAATACCTTTAGTATATAATTATAAATTGTTAAAAAGACATAAATTATATTCTTTAAAAGGAGAAATATTTTTTCAAATATACAAATTAATAATGCGTGATTTTGTTGGTAATACGAAGCTTCCACGCGATTTCATCTTTTAATGGTGGCCACGGGCGAAAAGTCAAAACCTTGACCATAACTTCGTGAAATTATTATCATATCACTACTCTTATTTATTTATTTTTCATTTTTCTTTTTCAATTTTTTCTTTGAATGATTTTTTCTTTGGATATTAGGATATATACCAGTAACTTCAGTTAACGCTGCAAGTGCCTCGGATTTTCTCTGAAAATGAAACTACGCTGAATAGGACATGCAAAATTCATGTGTCTAGCTATAAATTAATTAGAATAAGATCATGAAGCAACCAACATTACCATTCAAGATTAGAAAAATGGGTATCTTTTCCCTTCAACGTTTCCTTTTTTTTTGGAAACAAAGGAATTAAAAACAAAGCTAACGCTGTCTAATTACACGTGGCCAAGCCACTCCCCTAAAGTCATTCCCCAACAACCCAAAACACCTTTGGGGAGGAGTATCCAGCAACACCGTCTCCCAATTCAAGGAATGGGAGTACCCCGCCAGCCAGTCAGCCACTCCATTGCCCTCTCTGTATGTATGAACAAAGGACACCTGCCAATCTCGTTCTCTCAACTGGTTGATCTTTTTCACCAGGCCTGCATATGGGTGGTTTGAATCACACCCAATCCGGATCATATCCAGAGCAACTTGGGAGTCCCCTTCGCTGATCACCTTCCTATACCCCATATTCCAAGCAGTTTGTAATCCCAGTAAGAAACCCCATAATTCTGCTTTGACCGAGCTTCCTGCTCCCAAGTTTCTAGCAAATCCCAAAATCCAGTGCCCAGATTCATCCCTTAGGACTCCTCCACACCCACTCTTTCTATTTCCTTCCAAAGCAGACCCATCCGTGTTTATTTTGATCCAACCAACTGGTGGAGGTACCCACTGAACAAGGGTTTCCACTTTTTGTCCAACTTGTAACCCAATATCTCTATACAGTTTCCTTGCCTCCAAATTTTTTTGCAAGAAAGTACGAATAGATCTAACTATTTCCTCTATTGTAGAGTTTGTATTTTCAAAAACAAAACTATTCCTATTTCTCCATATGAACCAGCAGATAATCCCGAACAAGGTACTGCCCTCAAAGCCTCCCAGTAAGCTAAGCTTAGGTGAAAGGTTGGAAACTAACCAGTTCTGCAAGTTCTGGCTACGAAAAGCTGCCCAATTTTCCCTGCTGATGAATTGTCTCCATATTCGTTGAGTCCAGGAACACTCCCTCATGACATGACTGCAGCTTTCAGGGTAGGAGTTACATCTGGGGCAAGTATTTGAATCAGAAAAATGCCTTTGAAACCTCCTTTGGTTGGTGAGCAGATTTTCACCAAGCAAAAGCCAGAGGAAAGTCTTGATTCGAGGAGGACCCTCCCATTGCCACACTGAATTCCAGCGAGGCTGAACTTGAGGAGGATCTTCAATACAAAGGCTGTTCAAAGCTGTCTTGAAGGAAAAATTCCCATCATGGGATTGCTCCCAAATCACCTGATCTTCCCCATCATCCATCCGAGGGGGACATGTACTTGCAATACAGTTCAAAGCTACTTGGGTCAGCAAATCCCCAAACTCCTGCCAATTCCATTCTCCAAGCTGATCCGCCATTTGTGCTATCCTAACAATATGGGTTCCAGGGGGTAAGTCCTGGACAATGTGGTCCTTTAGAGGGCCAATGGGCAACCATTTATCCTCCCAAAAAGAACTGTTGACTCCATTACCTATTAGAATCCTTGACCCTTCATAAATTTTGGGCCACACCCTCGCTAAGCCAAGCCATAAATTTGAGAAACTGCTTTTTTTCTTGATCGAAGGCATCAACCCATCCTCCACTTTATATTTACTTTTCAAAACTTGCACCCAAAGATCATTTCTATGAGTGAGAGTTCTATGCCCAATTTTCATGAGGCAAGCTTTATTGGTTAGTCTTAAACTCCTAATCCCAAGACCACCTTTCTCTTTTGCCTTGCAAACAGTATTCCATGGTAAAGCATGGACTTTCCTAGCTTCTTGACTGGATCCCCATATGAAACCCCTCATTTTCTTCTCCACTTCATCACATGTTCCAAGGGGTAGAAGTGTTGTCTGCATGGAGTATGATGGTAGGGCAGCCAGGACAGATTTAGTGAGCACAATCCTACCTGCCATGGACAAGGATTTTGCCTTCCAGGCACTGAGTTTGCTATTAGTCTTGTCAATTATATACCTAAAGGTATTTTTATTAACCCTCTTATGAAGTATAGGAATCCCCAAGTACTTGCCTAAGTCAGCAATGGGAGCAAAATTCAGAATTTGACATAGTTCTCCTCTCTTCACATGATTCACATTTCTTGAAAAGAAACACCTTGTCTTACTGTTGCTCACCTTCTGCCCAGATGCATTACAAAAATGACTCAAAATTTCTGAAACTAGCCTGGCTTGGTCTACTGAAGCTTCTGCAAACAAGAGGAGGTCATCTGCGAAAAACATGTGGGAAATAGGAGGACCTCCTCTACCCATCTTAATAGGATTCCAATTCTTCTGATTCACAGCCACATTAATGAGTTGACCAAGTCTTTCTATGCACAAAACAAACAGATAGGGAGATAGAGGATCAGTATGTCTTATACCTCTAGAGGGTGTGAAGTCATTTGTCTGGGTTCCATTCCAAAGCAAGTTCATGGATGAAGAAGATACACACTCCATAATAAGATCCACCATAGAACTAGGAAATCCAGCCACTTGTAGGGTCTCCCTGAGGAACTCCCAGCTAACTCTATCATAAGCCTTCTCCAGGTCAACCTTAATTGCCATCCACCCTTTCTTTCCTTTCCTTGCTCTCATAGAGTGGAATATCTCTTGGCTGATCACAATATTATCCGAAGCATGCCTCCCTTTCACAAAGCTGCATTGATTTGGCATGATTAGCTCCCTCATATAATTTTTCAAACGGGAGGCCACAATTTTTGTAACCACCTTGTAGATGACATTGCATAAGCTTATAGGTCAGAATTGACTTATAGCTTCAGGGTTCTCTACTTTGGGAATCAGACAAATTAAGGTTTGGTTAATTCCAGCAACTCTCTTCGGGTCCTTAAAGATATCTTTAATGGTGTTGCAGACTGAGTTTCCCATAATATCCCATTGGGACTGAAAGAATACAGCATGTAGCCCATCTACTCCAGGGGCTTTAAAAGGGTGCATCCCAAAAATGGTGCTTCTGATTTCAGCTGAAGTTGGGGCAGCTTCGAAATTTCTCCAAGTGTTATAATCTAAGGGAGGGAATAAGCCTCCAATACAAAGTTTGGGTAAGTTATGAACCTCCTCCACATACAGATTCTTGAAGTAATTCATAGCCAAAAGCTTGAGCTCCTCTGGCTCCTCCACCCAGACTCCTTCATCATTTCTCAATGTTGTTACTTTATTTCTTCTTGTTCGGGCAATGGTAGCTGAGTGGAAGAACCTTGAGTTCCTATCTCCGAAAGCCAACCAATTGCATCTTGAACGTTGGAACCATGTTAGTTCCTCTTAGACATAGATAGAATTTAATTCCTGCCACAAGTCTTTGTGTAATCTCTCCAGAGCCTCATCAGGGCCCCTGCTAAGATGGAGCTCAATTCCCCTCAGTCTTCGTTGGATTTGATATTTCTTATTCTGCCTTCCCCTGAAGCTATTATGGTGCCAAGTTGTTGCATCCTGATGGAACTTAGATTTTGCTGGTATCCACTCAGAATTATGCTGCCAACACCCCTTCACCACATCTCCAAAGCTATCATTAGTCAGCCATGCAGCCAGAAAACGAAAAGGTTTTAGATCCTTGTTTTGATCAACAGAGGAGGTATCCTTATGGATAATGGGCCTATGATCCGACCCATTAAACAAAAGGTGAGTGATGGACCTGTTAGGAAACCCCAGATGCCAAGCTTCATTAACCACTAATCTGTCAATTCTTTCTTGGAGACAGCCCCTTTTCCAAGTATATTTAGGGCCAGCAAAGCCCAAATCAAAAAGATTACAGTCACTCAGGCAAGAGGCAAATTCATCAGTACTCTCCCAACACAACCCTGATCCTCCCTGCTTCTCCCCTTCTTCCAGTAACACGTTAAAATCCCCCATGACAGCCCATCTATTCACTCCCCCATTGCTGATTCTCCTCAAACTATCCCATAGCTCCTTTCTTTCCATCCTCCTGGAGCTACCATAAATAAAGGTGAAGTGTTCCTCCTGCCCAACACCTGGCCAACTCAACTTGGTGTGAACAAATTGATGGTTATCCTCTAAAATGCTAACACAAGTAGCACTTTTATTCCAAAGAAGCCAGATGCCCCCTGAAAAACCAACTGCTTCTCTCCTGAAACAGCTATCAAAACCCAATCTCCTAGTAATATTATCAGCTCTCTTCCCACTGATTCTAGTCCCAAGCAAAGCAAGAACTTGAATTTTATTCTGACCACCATATCTTTAACAAGCGTAGAGAAACCTTTTTTCCCTACCCCTCTACAGTTCCAAGTACAAACTATCATCAAGATAAAATTAATAGACCAAAGACACCCGTACAACCAGACAAACCACACCATTGGTTCACTTATCTCCCTCCATATTAGTAATATCATCCAGAATCATGGACACTCTACCTAGGGGTGTAAATGGGTTGGGCTGGGCTTTGGCCATCCTGGCCCAAGCCTACGTAAAAAAAAATTCAGCCTATCTGGCCTACTGGCCTATTAAAGGCTTTATTTGTAGGCCAAGCTCGGTCCATTTTCAAAAATAAGAAAGCCTGACATGGCCTACAGGCCTTGTAGGCCTCCCACTATATATACTAAGCAAAAAAAAAAATCGTATAGAGTAAAGAAAGTTTCATTCATGCATGCACTAGTACTTCTCATTAGAAAAAAAATGACAAACAAGAAAGAGTCAACATAATATCTCAGCTCTAGAATGTATATCATAGAGGAATAGAGTCAAAGACATGGAAAAAATAAGAAAAATACAATTACTGGATGCTGAAATAAAGTCTACAAGAGAATGTCATTCATCTAAAAATCTTTAAACCACCATCAAGTACAAGGGAAAGAAAAGTATTATTGAAAGTAAGAGATATTAGTATTTAGTACTTTGTGTCTTTGCTCCATGGTATTAAGCTGCAACAGCATGTAAAATTTGGAAACATTAGACAAGTTTTCCTTTAATAAAATAAAATAGCACAAAAAGCAAGAGATATTGGTGTTTGGTACTTTGTGTCTTTGCCACATAAAATAAATATTATTTTATTATTTTATTTTAATAAATTAAATAGGCCAGCCTACAAGGCTGTAGGCCGGGCTTGACAAAATTGGCCTATTGCCTATTTATTAAAAAATCTTTTTTATAAGTCTAAGCCTACTCTAATTTTCTGAAAGGCCGGGCCTGGACTGGGCTCAATGTAGGTCGGGCCGTAGGCTGAGCTGGGCCAGCCTGGCCCATTTACACCCCTGACTCTACCCTCCTGGCTGATATTCTTTCCTCTCCCACTATCATCAGGGGGAATCTCTTTAAGATTTGGTTGTAAGACAGCCCCTGGTCCTGGGTCAGTGTGTTTGGGTAGACTACACTCTGGCCCAGTCTTCAAGTTTTTTGCTTGCATGAGAGCTGCCCCCTGAGGCTTCAGTCTTATACTGGATCTACTCACCAGGATAGCCTCCCTACCTGAGCTCCTTTGAGCGTGCACCATGGCAGAGTCTAGTGACATAGATGGCTGGATCATCTGTTTCTTTGGGGTCTTTTCAGTGACTACATGTACCTGTTTTGGATTAGTTCTATCAGCAGTGGCTTTATTCTTTCTGTTCTCTGGAATCCTTTTTAATTGACTAGCCTCAGCTGAGACATTTCCACTCCTTCTAGGCTGAAGGGTCTCCTTCTCCTCCTCATCTCCAAGGGATTCAAATCTGGAACCCGAAACCTTAGACTTCTGTCCCTGCCCATTCTGCTCACTTCCAGCTTTTCCTTTACCCAAGCTATGCTCCTTAGCTTTGTTTGGTGTAGCTGGCCTCTTATTATTCCTCTTCTGTATCGTCATCCAGGTACCAAACCCATCTACCTCCTGGCTCTTTTCCACTTCACCTGTAGAAACCCCTTCACCATGGCACTGTGCAGGGTGCTCACTATGCGTACCCTCACTTGTATTCTCCTCCACAGACTTAATGTTCACAGGATTAATCGAACAATGGTCTCTCCTGTGGCCATATTGACCACATAGGAAACAAATAAGATGTAATCCTTCATAACCTATAAATAATTGCCTTTGACCAATTCGAAATTTGGACAACAGGCTTTTACTCAAATCAACTTCTACGCAAATACGGGCAAACCTACCTCTATCAGTTACCTCTTCATGTAAACCACCTTCCCTGAGAGAGCTTTCATCAATTCTGAGAGTCTTCCCCACCATGTTGCCCATTCTCCAAAGATCTTTGTAGGTGTAGAACTCCTGGGATTCGAATCCAGACAGCCAATTTCTTCACCCTATCATCATGTGGGTCAAAATTGGGTCTCCACCGCTGGACAATGAGGTAATGGTCAGCGACTATCCAAGGACCTTGTTGCTGGACGAATAGGTAGTCTTGCGCCTTCTCGAATTCGACCAAGTAGTGGTCATTCTCCAGATCTAAGACTTTGTAGTCACCATCGAGGTGCCACAGTTTATGCAATCTATTCCAAAGAAATTTTGCCCCAATTCGTTTACCCATCAGCTTCACGATCAGGGCATTACGCCATCTCTTGCACTGCTCCAGCTTCTCCAAAATGTCAAATTGGAAGTACGGGTTCAGGGGGTCATCTTCCCCGGTTTGTTCGTAAGCTCTCATAGCTTCTTTTTCCTCATCTTCCTCCCTTCTACACTTGGCCAGCCAATCATCATCTTCGTTCGCCTGGAGCCCGTCCCAAATTCCATTAACTTGGATAAGCTTATCCTTGTATGACACCAGCCTACGAGGGTCCCTACGCGCCTCCCCAACCGGTTCCACCACTTTCTCCATCCCTTCAGCCTCAAAGCGCATGACTCTGTCACCGGTTTCGATCTCTATTGTGCCCACAATCGGAGATCCATCGTGCATTTCCTGATATAGCAGCACCTCGCCTTTCGCCTTCTTCGATTCTCTGATGTTTCCTCCTTCCCCCTCAGTAGTGGGGGGACGCCCCCCTTTTTCCACCATGAACGAGTACCAAAACCTAGCAGACCTCAAAAAAGATTCTCACGCGCATACCCAAGCCCATGTTTGTATATCCCTTCAACGTTTCCTAAATGCATGTGCTTGCATTAATTTTGTGCTAATTTGTTCATGCAGTGTCCACTCAAGTTCCTGCAGGAAGGGAGGTGTAAAATAACTAAAAAATTGAACCGAACCATGAACTGAACTAAATCGAATCACTCTTAAAATAATCGGTTTTTAAAAATCAGTTCATGAAATGAACCGATTTTTAAAGAACCAGTTCATGAACCGAACCGGTTTTTAGAACCAGTTTAAGAACCAAACCGATTCCGAATCGAACCGAACCGTTTTTAAATCGAACCAAATTGATTTTTACAACTTTTTTTTAAAAAATTTTAATTTTTTTTTGAAATAGGGTCGACCCGAACCGGTTTCGATCTGAACCGAACCGTTTTCAACCGAACCATTTTCGAACCGAATCAGTTTTGAATCGAACCGAACCGAACCATTTAAACTTATTCGGTTCAATTTTTCAAAAAATTCGATTCGACTTGACCCATGCACATCCCTAACTACAAGTTTGTCTTGCCATCTAAACAAAGGAGAAAATACGAACACACCCTTCTTTATATAAACAATTGTTTCTATAAATAATTTTGAATTCATAATGCAATTTTTGTCATTGCAATATATATATAATGATGAGATGTGATATTTACACAGACATCTCTTTCCGGAAGCCTGACAATTTTTCAATTATCATCCTTCATTATGCGATTTGTACTTCCATAATGATTATATCAAGAAGAGTTCTCAGTTAAGGTCATTAATTGAATTACAACATACATATTGACTCATGAATTCATTTTGCAGATTTGGAGTTTGTGGGTAAACTGGGTCTCATTACGAGCCTGGTCAAACTCAATATTTGAGAAGAAGAAATGAGTTCAATAAATTATACACGGACAAAAAATATAAGCTTCTGTAGGAGTCTCTCTATAAATGGCATAATAGTTTGCATTTTGATGACATTAGTCTACTTCATCTCTTTACTTGACAATACTAAATAAATGGTAAAACATATATATTTGCAATTAATTATATCAAATATTGTTATTTAATTGACTCGATTTTGTCGGTAGTGTTTTTGTCAGAATTTATATAATTAATAGAATCACTGCGTCCATATATCATCTAAAATCAGATAGTTACTAAAGATTAGCTAAGGTCAATTAGCAGTTGATGCAAAAGGTTTTGATTTTCAACTTTTATTGATGAATATTCGTTGTATAAGACAACTTTTCTTTTTCTTCCACTTGTATTTGAGGAAAATAAATCTTAAACCAAGTATTCAAAGAATTAGATCATCTTCGCTGCACCATTTACTATCTTTCTTTTTTATTTTTAAATTAAAAGAATTCACAAATTTGTCATTAATCTTAAAAAGAACAGAAGAAGAATAAATTTAGCATGACCCCAAAGCTGAGCCTCGAGCCCACAAACACGGTTAACGAACATATATCCAGTAAAACTGTCAAAACGGGCCACTTCATCTAATTTGGCCCTAACTCGTGCGGGTTACGGTCAAAAAAATTCGCAGGGCCAAATGAATCTCAATAGTCAAGGACCGCATGGGCCAAAAGCTCTATTTATTAGGGCTAACTCGCAGGCCATTTAAAATTATAATTTCATATTTTTTTTTATCATATTCAATATATTACAAAATATTTTAACAAATAAATTGTTACACTTTCTTAGCATATTTTATACAAAGGGAAAATATTATCTTATGCTGTAGGAGAGTATTTTTCTCTCCTACACATACATTGACTTCCGTGTTGTTTTTTCTTCTTTTTTTCTTTTTCTTTAAGTGAGTGGGTCCCACTTATAACTATTTCTATGACATAAGAGAGCTTCTCTTATGTCACATGAGATTAATAAAGCCCTTATACAAATTATAAATTTTTTATAATTTAATTTAATTTTTTTTTTGATAACATAATTTAAATTTTTTTTTTTTGATAACATAATTTAATTTTTTTAATAAAATAAGATTTGTACATAAATATACAAGTAAAAATGTAAACAAAATTTTAATATAAGGGAAAAGTCAGTTACTACTTTTACTAAATTCATTATTAAAGGAGCCATCAAATAAAGATTTTCTCACCGGGAGTCATAACAAAATTCAACAATTATAGTGAAAAACTAAAAGTAATGATGGAAAAATTATCTTAATACCAGTATTGAATAACTGCTCTTAATAATTTGAAAGAAAAATAATTGATTTTCTTTAACTACTACCGTTACAAAAAAAAGTTTAGTTATTATTATCCACAAAATTACTAAAATGCATCGTATACAATATGTTTGAATACAAATTTGGATGTATAAGATGCTTAGATGTTAATAAAAAATTTATTTTTATTGATGCGTAGATGAAAATCTATGTTAAAACATATCACTACTGAAAAAATAATTTTTGTTGTAAAATATTATGAATGAACTTTCACATGTTCATAACACGTGATTTTTTGTTTTTATAACCTTTGATAGATTCTATAATCATTACACTAATGATGTGTTGAATTGTAGAATACATCCAAAAGGGTATTGTAAAATATTATGGATGACCTTTCACATGGATTATGGATGACATTTCATATGGTTATGCATGACCTTTCACATGAATTATGAATGACATTTCATATGAATTATGCATGACCTTTCACATGGATTATGAATGACCTTTCACATGGTTCATGACTTCTATGTTTAAAAATGCATCTAAGATAGGTCCTTCCTTATATAGGACTCTTTGCTCATACTTATTTTTATTTTATTCTTTCTTTTATTTTATTTTTTCTACACTTCATTTTCCATTCTTTCATATTTCACTTTCTCTTATATTCTCCATCAAATTCACAATAAACTTTACTTATATTTATAAATATTTAAATTTATATAATTTTTAATTTTTTTAAATAATACAAATTTTGATGAAAAAAAAAGTTTAGCCCGGGGGTCATCCCTAACTCAGCTCGCTAAATTATAGAGTTTTGAGGATTAAGGCTAAAATAGATCCTATCACAAAAAAGCTCGAATAGATTAGGGCCAAATATAATACTTTAACGGGCTGACTTGCGAGCTTTAACTCATTTTGACAACATCTGATATCCAGTTTAGGCTTGACAGAGTTTATTAGATTTAGGGCCTGTTTGGATCACCTGATAAAGAAGATAGGATAGGATAACTTATCATATCCTACTTTTATCTCTTGTTTGGTAGGTCAATAGGATATGATTAGCTTATCAAGATAGGATATCATTTTATTTTATCTAATACATGATTTCTTATCCTATGGAAGGAGTTGGGTTAGAATTCAACAGGATAGGATAATAATATTGGATACTCAATATATCCCCACGCTACCCAATATATCCTCACGTTATCCAATATATTTGTATTTAGTGTATTATATTTTATTTTTTCTTTTTCCTTTCCCCTTCTACATAATCTTATCAGATTGCTATCAGGTGCTCATCAAAAACAGGATATGATATAGTCTTATCAGACCCATATCATATCCTACCATTATCAGCACCATATCATATCCTACCCTTATCCTATTCTGTACACCAAACACAGGGTAAACCTCCAAAAGCGTAGTCTTTTTCCACTTGTTTTTTTATCAGCTAACTCATATATCATCTAATTTTAAGCAAAAAGGTTATATTTTCAAAACAAATCAAATAGAAGTTGACATTTTAAATTCTGCAAAAAGACAAGAGATAATAAAAAAAATCAAGAGATATTCTAATAAAAATATAAACAAAACAAAACAAGAGATAATCTCCGAACATTAAAAACCAAGTTTTAATTGGATTAGGTATTAACAGAGACGTTAAAATAGTGAAGAAAAATTATATTTTTATAATAAAGTCACCCAATGTGTTTTATTTTCCGTTTAATTAACTAAAAATAATTTTACCTAAAATTCAATATCACAAGGGTTAATCAATAATAAAGGAGTTCATTTTTTATGCGATTACTCATTTGTAGTAAACTTAATACGACGTCATTTTGAGACAAAAATCATAATATTTTTATAATCTTTATAATTTTAATTTATTTCAGAATTATAATAATTTTTATATTTTTTTAAATTTCAATAACAAAAGAACATCGTTTTAAAAAAAGTACAGATAACTTCTCTCTGGAATAACTAATTACCGAAACATTTTTCCGCGTCTCGATTAGAACATCACTAGCAGAGTCATTGCCCCAACCCAAGCGCAAAGATGAATTACAAACTCGCTTCCTCGCTTTTTTATATTCATCTTTTTAGCCCTGGCCCTGAACCATCTCGATGTGGTACACAAGTTACATTTCAATTTCTCTTCTTATTTGTCAACTAACAAACTTTTTGTTAACAAACGGATCTGTTCGCACCAAATTTTCATTGCTAGTGTAAATTTAGAAATAATAAACTCGCTGTATCAGCTAACGTATTTATTTAACAAAATTAAAATAGAATAGGTGTAGTTCTAGTATTTCGAACATATTATTTACATCGGCATGGTATTCAGGAAGGAACGAGGATGGATCTGGGATGATAGTAGATTTTGAATTTCTTCTGATAAGAAAGAATAAGAAGCATTGGAGTAAAGCAAAAAAGATGAAAAAAAAAAAAAGCTTAATCATCGTAGCTTCTGGGAATGATATGGGAATTCAAGTTGGAGTTTAACATGGTAAGTTGCAGCCACTTCACTTGGTTGTCTATTAGTGTGACTAAAAACTGCAACACCACGAGCAAAGGCAAATGAACCTGTTCCTCCTACCACCTTGAATTCTTCTCTGTCCTTGTGAGCTGATTCCTTGGCCTGCACGCTTAGGCTACCCGAATGATCTGGGGTGTCAAAGGTAAGATATATAACATTGAATGCTGATTGCTCGAACTGCTCCACAGGAATTATGAAGCCTTGTGCTTTTCCCACCACCTGTGAAGTGTTCTCTGGTCCTTCTGTAAGGACACGGTGAAAAATGAATGCTCCAGCATCTTCCCTTGGTACAACATGTGTATTTGAGGTTGGTATACGAGGTTGTTGGATGTACAAGGACAGATCAAGCCATGGCCTTGAATGAGTACTCTTCTTGTGAGACGCAGGTGATAGCAAAGCCAAAAGAATGACTGCTATTGTTGCTAGAGAAACTGCAGCGCAGAATATGATACGTGGCAACATTATGCATCAAATGGAGATTTCAATTTGAGATTTGTGCTCCCTTTATGATGAAATCAAATTACTACATTTTCCTTTTAAATTGAAAGGTTTCTCATGGTTAAATTAATTAAATGTTATTGGCAACCTAACCCATTTAGCAGTTTAATACACCTAAACCATTATGGAAAACCTTCCTGCTTGTCTTCTTGTTGCCTGGCGTGTATGAGGAATTTCCATTGACTCATCACATTTACATATTCCCAATGTCTAACTTTCTTTTATTTCCAACTCTAGTAAATTCTGCATCTGGGCTCTAATTTGATAGAAATTCAGCAAATGCCCCGTTGCCCTCGTTTAGGACTGTCCTTAAAGTTGGAAGGACACCTGTGTAGTAGCCCAACTGGCTAGCACTTAGTGGACCATTTTTTGTTCAATATGGTAAACTATGCAAGGCAATTTTGTTTCTTTCTGTCTCCTATTATTAGTGCATCGTCAATTATTTTGCATCAAGTTTGGTTGAACAAACACAGAGGGTAAGACTTCTGTTGCCAATGGTTTTGGTCAAAATAATTCCTAGTTACAAATCAATTTTAGAAAGGACACTTAACACTCGGAGATATCAGCTTAATGGTGTTCAACTGAATTATTAATTTAGCAGAATTTTAACCTGAAAAAAAAAAATATATAATTTATCACTCTGATAGTTTGTTTGTTATTATCAATGGTTAAAAATCAATTCAATTTAAAAACTTAAAGTATTAAATGAAGATCACATTAATAATTACATATATTATATTCCTAACATACTTTTTCATGCGCCCTTTGAAGAAGTGTGAATAATACACAATTTTTTTTTTTTTTACCTTATACTGATTTTAACTTAGGGAGTCAATATTCAATTTCAGTACAATTAATTTATGTCCGGGCCACACTCCCACAGCAAAGCATTGCAGTTTTGAGACACTAGAGTAGACCCACAACTTGTACCGTCCTTACCCCTCATACCTTTTTCTTTTTTCTTACAAAATGGCTACAGCATGGGTCGTCCTTATGCCTTTTTATACACTGAATGGACAATGCATAGTGGGGATTGATATAGAAAGCACAACCATTTCCAGAGTCAAGGTCATAAGGTCACATATCGATGGTGTTCTGACCAGTAACCCGGCCCAAGGGCACAATTAGGCTCATTTACAGTCATCTCAACATGTGCATGATGTTCTCGCTTCTGAGTAATTATAATTAATATATATATATATATACATATAAAAGGGTGGATATGGATGGATCTCAATTCATTTATTGAATTACACTTATTAACTAATTATTAACTTTCAATAAATTATAACTGTCGGATTATCGTAAATCAACGATTTAGATTTGTTATCACACTTTTTAGTTTGACATCGGTATGAAATCATCTTGTCCCTATATATATATATATATATATATATATATATATATATATATGAGGTAGGATCCTTTGACACCAGTGTCAAATTTGAAATTTGACACCTCATATGAGAGTTGTTAGATAAAAAAAAATTAACGACTCTGGTTTGTAAGCATGTGATACCATTGATCTTTTTTGATCTAACGGCTATCAAATGAGGTGTCAAATGATCCTACCTATATATATATATATATATATATATATATATATATATAGAAAGAGAGAGGATCCTTTGACATTGAGATCAAATTTTAAAATTTTATATCATATTGTAACCGTTAATTTCTGTTAATCAATAATTATTATTTAATTGAAAATTATATATATATATATATATATATATATATATATATATATATATATATCTTTTGATATCAAGATCAAATTTTAAAATTTGATTTCAAATCAACAGTTATTATTGAAATTTTTTGTCATTCATATATATATATATATGAATTAGTATTACGAACGCGTGTCACCTTAGTTGCGGTGTCTCCATTTACTCGCACCCATTCTTTAAAAAAAAAAACAAATTGTAAAGTGGTGTTCGCTCTGTGAGCATATAAAATAAGAAAAATATTTTTCTCATGTTATATGAGATAAATTGTCTCATGCAACACACAAAAACATGAGCGGGACCCACTAAAAAAAGAGAGAGAAAAGAAAAAAGTGGGTCATATCCCCTTTTTTGTGTGTTGCATGGGATAAATTGTCTGATGCAACATGAAAAAAAAATATTCCATAAAATAAATGATATGATCAACTTATATATACTGATGTAAGAATAATAATTTTTATATATAATTGTAAACATTGATTTATGTATATTTAACGGTTGTGATTTTTTTAAAATTAATAAATAATTAATACGTATGAATATGATCGTTAGATTTATTAAAATTAATGTAAAGATTTAAGGTAACATTTCTTATTCTTATATAAATTTATCTTGTCACATAAAATAATGTACCTTCCTGATCTGACTAAAAGCAGGCTATTCACGTCAGAATTACGAAATTCATAAGAATATTTCTCACAATCTAATCTCAATAAAATTTATAAAATGTTAGTTATTTGACTAGTTTAATAACAAATATTTTAGATAAGCAATCTGAAATTTCACAAAGTTCTAAAACCATTCCACTAATTATTATCTAATTTTATACCATATAAGAAAAAGTTATATAAAGTAGTAGTTACAACTTACCACATGCTATATAAGAAGCAATCTAGTAGTTACAACTTACCACATGCTATATAAGAAGCTGCCATACGGCAGTCTATTGGGTTAATAGACCTATCTATCTTCATTACAAATTATAGGCAACAACGGGACTCTTCTTTTCCATAAAAGTAGTGGATTAAGTAAGTAGAAAACTAGTACCAAAGCTTACCAAAAAAAAAGAAAACTAGTTACAAAAATAAGTAGAAAACTGTTCATACTTCATTTGACCGTTCCTATGACTTGTGTTTGAGTTTGATAAAAGAGATGCAAGTAAATTAATGGGAAATAATTTTCTTTTGTAATAAAAGAGTTATCTCATGTAGTAAAAACAAAATTACAAGTGAGACCCTTAGATAAGAGGATAGAGAGAAAAAATAGAAGTGAGACTTACCCTTGTGTAATTTTTTTTTATGGAACATGAGATAAATATAATCCAAATTTAATTTGTACTTAGGAATTTTTGTAATTGTGTCCAATTGGATTTATTTAAGCACTTTGACGTCAAGACTCAAGTCCCTGTGACGGCAGAGCCAAAAAATGTTAGCCTCTGTCAAAAACCCACCCCGAATAATTTTAGCCCCGGCTATCTTTCTATTTGTTTTGCATAGTTGCCAAATTTTATCTTCTATCCATGCCACATTCTAGAAAATTTCAAAATTAGCTAGTGCCAAGGCACTAGCTAGCCTCAATGTGGCTCCGCCACGGCCTATGACCGTGACTATTTTTTCTTGTGGGCTTAATTTTGTTAGAAATAATTAAGTGTGAATAGTAATGAAGTTCCACATCGATTAGAAATGTTTCTAGTGATGATCATATAAGTGCAAAAAGGATTCATATAACTTGAGTCTTTGGCTTTGTTTGAGAGTTTAGAGGAGAAAGAGAAGGAAGAGAAAGGAAATAAAGGGTATTATCTTTCCCTGTTTGGGGTTTAAAACCCCCCAAATTGGAGGAACTTTAAATTTAAGAATAAAAAAGATTTTGGAGGGTTTTGTGAAAATTCTTAAATCTTTTCCCTCACTTTTTTAAACTCACTTGAGTCTTAGGCTTTGTTTGGGAGTTTAGAGGAGAAAGAGAAAGAAAATAAAAGGTATTATATTTCCCTATTTGGGGTTTAAAACCCCCCAAATTGGAGGAACTTTAAATTTAAGAAAAAAAAGGATTTTGGAGGGTTTTGTGAAAATCCCTAAATCTTTTCCTTCACTTTTTTTAAACTCACAAATAAGGGAAGAGATTAATAAAATCATTTCCTTCCTTTCCTTTACCTCCTAAAACTAACTCTCAAACAAGCCCTTGAGGTTTTGGGTTCAAATATGAACTTATTGTGGTTTATCATTTGGGCCCATTGGTAGATGTATGTATCTCTTGTAAAGGGTTTTGGGCTCCCCCATACCATTCCTAACTTTGGTATCAGAGCCAGAGGTTTGGCTGAGACTGAGTTTATAAAGATGGTGATGCACTTAAAGAGACCTCGATAGAAGGCTAATATGACACTAAGTTGCCTTTAGAAGGGAGCATGATGTTGAGCCTCATACTTGAAGGGAGGATGTTAGAAATAATCAAGTGTGTCCACATCGATTAAAAATGTTCCAAATTACAAAAAGACCCATACAACTTGAACTTTAAGGTTTTGGGTTCAAATGTAGTGTCGGTTGTAACATCCCGAGCGCTGACGAGGGTGGGGAGTGATCGCCGGTGCTAAGAGACACGGACAAGGAGCAGCTCCTGACAGGCTTCTAGCGTGGGGTTACATGCATGAATGAATCGAATCGACACCCGAAAGAGAGGGATTCCAAAGGCTGTGCAGGTATAAGACTGCACAGTTTAGGATAACTTATAAGAATTAATTGGTACTACCTATACTAACAAGATGCATCTTCTTTTCGGTAGCCCGGAACGGAAGAACTCCATAGTTAAGCGTGCTTAACTTGGAGCAATTCTGGGATGGGCGACCTCCAGGGAAGTTTTCCCGGGAAGTGTGCGAGTGAGGAAAAAGCACACTGAAAAGTCTCGTGTTAGTATGTGAGGATAGTCATTGATTCTTGAAGCGGCCAGGCGTTACAAGTGGTATCAGAGTCGAGCCCCTCATCTAGTACGGTGTGGTTCGAGGACGAACCAAGTGGAAGCTGGTGGACATGTAACATCCCGAGCGCTGACGAGGGAGGGGAGTGATCGCCGGTGCTAAGAGGCACGGACAAGGAGCGGCTCCTGACAGGCTTCCAGCGTGGGGTTACATGCATGAATGAATCGAATCGATACCCGAAAGAGAGAGATTTCAAAGGCTGTGCAGGTATAAGACTGCACAGTTTGGGATAACTTATAAGAATTAATTGCTACTACCTATAC